TTTAGAAGAGAATGTTTCTCCTCAAGAGGAAAATCCCTTGGCATCTCTAGGCACATGGAACTGTGGCAGCAGCATGGCTCACAGGTGCTGTTTCTTTCCTAAGTCCACAGAAGCTACTCCGCACATCGTTGACCTAGAAACTTATTTGTCATCCCCAAGGTTGTCAACTGGATGCTGTAGATTAATTTCCTTTTAAAAAGAATTACTGAAGAGTTTTGCCAATTGGTATGAAACTGATAACACAGTGCTAAGGCATTTGACTGGTCATCGCCATGAAAGCTGGCCTCAGAAAAGTCCAGAAATAAGCACTCAGCTCCCTCAGTGCTAGCTGTTACTGCCCAGGTAAAAGAGATACAGAAAATGGGAAGGAACAGGTAGATCCAGCACAGGAGAAGAACCAGAGAAAAGCTTTGAGCTGGCTTTGGGAGTTTTTAGAATTTGATCTCCATGTCAACCTGCCTAAAGGAGAGAGAGAGAGAGAGAGAGAGAGAGAGAGAGAGAGAGAGAGAGAGAGAGAGAGAGAGAGAGAGACTCAGAGAGAGAGACTCAGAGAGAGAGACTCAGAGAGAGACCCAGAGAGAGACCCAGAGAGAGAGAGACACCCAGATACAGAGACATAGATACACAGACAGAGATTGTGTGTGTGTGTGTGTGTGCGCGCGCGCGCGTGCCTGCCTGCCTGCCTGCCTGTCTGTCTGTCTGTCAGTTACTGGGAATTAAACAGAGGGCCTTACACACTCATCCCTGCCCCTGAGATTTGTTTTCTAAGAATGTCTGTAGAATGGAAGGAAAGAATTGAAAGCCATTGCAGCGAGCTTTTCCAAACAATGTTCCAAAGCACCTGCAGTTCCAGCTATCACATTGCTAGTGAGATGAGAACTCAGCCCTTGGAACATGAGCCCTGTCACAGGGCTTGTGTACTTGGAACTACTGGGAATGGGGCTTGCAAAGCACTTTGCTTCATGGTCTGACATTTTGTTTCTTTTGTGTTTAGTTTATTGTTTTTAGTTTTCTGGTCTTGTGCTTTGGAAACAAAGTTTTACTTTGTAGCCCAAGCTGGCCAAGAACTCTCTGCGTAGCTCAGGCTGGCCTCGGACTCAACAACAGTCCTCAAAGTCCCTCAAGCAGCAGCCATCTTACCCAGCATTTTATGTCATATTTTCCAGCCTGTCTTACTTCCCAGGGCATTAATAACTTCACCAAAAGGCAAATGGTTTATGCTTTACAAGTTTATTAAAAATGACTTGTATTTTGTTTTCAGTATAGCTTAAATAAGAACATCAAAAAGAACCACAGAAGAATGCACATATTTCCACCCACAGTCTTGTTATCCTGATATTTGCTTATTGATAATTTAGAACTTCCCCCCTGACATCCATGCTCCAGATGCAAACCAGAAACCTTTTCTAGTCATGTGATTGATGCCACAAACTTTACCGTGTGGGTAGAGTCCCACAATATAAAAATGATTTTAACAAGTACATCCTTCAAGAACCCAAATATCACAGGCCCAGGGAGGTGGCTCTGTAGTAAGGTGTTTGCATTGTGAGCATGAAGACCTGAGTTCAATCCCCAAAACCTATGGTTTTGTTTTTGCTTTTGTTTTTAAAGCTGAATATGATGGGATTATAATACCAGCACTAGGGAAACTGAGAAGAGTGGATAACCAGTGCTCACTGGTCATCTAGTCTAGCCTATTTGGTGAGTTGCAAGCCAGGGAGAGACCTTGTCTCAAAAAAAAAAAAAAGATATATATATAGATATAGATATATACACATATATATTATAATATATAGAATTATATATAATAATATATTATATATAATGTTACTGCATATTTTATATACTATAATTCATATAATATAATTATATATGATATAATATAACATTATATTTATATGTTAACTATATATATTATAATATAATGTTTATAACACATATTATATATTATGCATTTATATATAATATAATATATCATATATGTATATATATTCTCTGAGAAAGGACAGCCCAGGTTGTCCTCTGGGCTCCGTGTGTGTGCACATGCACACACACAAATCTGAACATGTCAGATGTTATGAGTCATCTGCTTGTTTTGAATTCTCTGCAGTGCCTCGCCAGCCTCCTGGAGTGTTAGTGGTTTTCGTAGTCAAGGCGAAATGTGGGGGTAGCACCAGCACTTTCTTGTTTCTAAAAGTAGAGGCTTGGAAATGGGGTCTGTTCCTTTAGAGATGCCTCCCCACACACACAGAGTCATGGGAGGGGAAAAGGAATCGAGACAGGTGAGTGCATCCTTGGAGAGATGCAGGTCTGCAGAGCAGCGGTCTCTACTCTCCACTGTACATCTTGGCCCAGGGCATGGGCCAGTCTTTGCTCGGATACTATGTAAGCAGCCAGCATAGATTCTGACAGCTTCCTTCTCTGTGACTCTTCCCTCTGTGTCTGTCACCACTGGGCACTTGGTGTGCAGTGACAGTGGGTTTGTGCTGTTACTCTGTTACTAATTCCCTGTGCCTCTGTGCTATTTGACACCTGGGTCAGTGAGGTGGTAGGCTGGTTGGCTAGCCATCTTGCTAATGAGCCCTGGGAGTTTTTCAGTGGCCCAGGGACTACCCACCACCTTGACTCTGCTCCTAACACCTGGGTGGTCATCAGATGGTGCAGGTGTCTCCGATGCCTGTGATAAAGTTTTCAGCAGGCCCTAGAGTGTCTCTGCAGACACAGTCCCTGAGCCCCATCTGCACTAGTGTAACCACTCAGTCCAAACTGTCAGCCTCCTAAGTCAAAAGGACACTTACTGTGGTAAGTGGCTCCCCTTTGTTGCTTCCCATAACAGAGGAGGCTGAGAAATAGCCTCTCGGAGTAAGTGGGGAAAGGACCATCATGCACTGGGCTCCTACCTCTCCATGGGAGGGTTCTCCAGTTGTTAATCCCACCCCAACTCCCCTGCCACCCCTCTTCACAGGTTTATAAGCCTTTTTGCTAATGAGGGCCAGTGTAGCAGAGAAAAGACAGATGTGCAAATGCATTTCTGTTCTGTTTTATTATTATTATTATTATTATTATTATTATTATATTATTCTAACAAGAGATTTGAGAAAATCTAGGACTGAAATGTAAAATGAGATTTGAGGTGATCCATGGGCTGTATTCCTCTCTCTGATGAGCAACAATTCAACAGGAGTTTGCATACTTTCCTGTTCTTTTAAATATATGTTTTCATGTGTATATGTATGTGTACACTCATGTTTGAGCTGATGTGTGAATATGAGCAGATGCATGTGCACCTTTGAGTGGAAGCCAGAGAACAAACAGCCTTGTCTGTCATGGCTCAACCACTGTCCACCCTGGATTATTGGAAATGGTGTCTCACTGGCCTAGAACTCAGCAAGTAGGCTAGGTGGCCATTCAGCACACCCCAGGTATTCGTCTTCCACTACTGCCTCCCTCGGCCCCATCAGTACTGTGATTGCGAGTACGCTTCCACACTGAGAATGTTTTATGTGGGTCCTGGATTTCATACTCAAGCCTCCTGCTTGCGAGACAAGCACTTTCCAGCCTCTGCCTTCCTATTCTTGCTCAGGGAGATATTTATCTTCAAGAGAATGAAAGGAAGAATTCCGTGGTGGATTTCCTGGGCTTTTCTTATAGACCGAAGAAGTCCCTACTCTGATAAACAGTATGGTTTAACAGAAAGATCCAGAGTGAGGATCAGATTGGCCCACTTCTCTGTGTCTGGCTGTGAACTCAGGACAGATCACTTCTGTGAAACTCAGTTTCCTTCCCTTGTTCTCTGAGCTCAGGTGCAGCTCACACTGCAGGGAGCACTTAGGAACTGCCTGCAGTAAGTGGTCCCTTCAGAGCAGAAGTGGGTAAAGAGGCCACTTTCTGGCTGGATTGCTTAAACAACTGGCGCAACCTCTCAGTGCCCTTGTGTCTTCTACAATTTTGGAACAATGTCATGATGATTATGTTTCCCTAGGGATATTGGCGTAAGTGAGCCATCCAAATCTCATAGAACACAGAGTTCTAGGCATACCGAGGACTTTATCAATGATTCTGTTTTGAGTTTTTCTACCTTTGTAGTTATTCCATAACTTGTGTACTAAAGATGTCTCAAGCAGATATGTCTAATATGGAAAGGAGATTTCACTTGTCAGTGAGGTCTACTGCGCCATCTGTATTTACCCACATTGAGTGCCAACTGCACCAGATGCTGTAGGCCAGACACCAGGTGGATACCTGTTCTTGAACCCTGGCCCCAAGGCTGGGAACATGGGAGTCAGGGCTAGTACAAAATAAACCCAGGCCCCTGGGAGCAATGACTCTTGTTGGAATAATGGTTCAGAGATGAAGTGAGATTAAGTAGCAGTCCCTCTACTCTGTCGGGGGTAGGTGAATGTGCCAATAGACGGATCATCTGAAAACAAGTGTGGCTCCAAGCAGATCCCCCTTTTCTCACTGTGTTGTAGGCTCTATAAAGGCACAGGAAGTGCTTGCTACCCTTGTCCCCGTGGTACCTCACAAAATCTCACAGGACCCAGAGATGCTGTCCTGAGCCAATTAGGGGGTACAGTTCATACTCCACACCTTAATTAAGTATTATCTCTCACAACAATGTTAACAAAGCTATGGGGCTTACCACAGAACAGTTCTCGATCAGTTGATGGGTGATTATTTCTAGACACACACACACACCTCTCCATCTCTCTCTACTTAAAGAAGCTAACAAATGGATCATTTGATATTATCTATTTAAATATCTTTGGAACTTGGGGTTTTTTGAACTTGAACCCAGGTCTTAGTGCAGGCTGAGCATTCTACTGCTGATAAGTTAGGTTCCTTAGTCCCCTGCCCAGGTTTTAGACTCACTGGTGGCTCGAAACTTGAAGAGCCAACACGGAAAAACAAAAATCAGAAAATGAAAAGTCCAGGTAAGCTTTTTTTGGCCTCCAACATCTAAATCATCAGGGTTGTGACTCTTCTTTATCTGTCTTCAGCTCCGGAAGTTCTCGCCCAGAAACCATACAGCAAAGCTGTCGACTGCTGGTCCATCGGGGTGATCGCCTATATCTTGTAAGTGTTGCTTACCATCATGGCTCCCCTCCTCCTCCACTTATTTGACTGAGGCAAAATATGTATAACAGAGATTTTTATCGTTCTGGAAGTATTAAGTCTGCCTCAGCAGTACCCTCACTGCCTATTTCCAGAATGTTTTTTTCATCTCTGACTGAGACTGTTTGCAAATGGCAAACAGCAGCTCCCTGCACCACCCCCACCTCAGCCCCTGATACCCTTCATTCTACCATCTGTCTTTGTGAACCTGACTCTTCTAGGGACCTCATAGAAGTGGGATCATACAGCCATTCTTCCTTGGTGATAAACTTATTCACTTATGGGTCCTCAGAGTTCATCCATGTTGAACCATATGCCAGACTCTCCTTCCTTTCAGGAATGACACCCAACTTTCTGGACTACCCTAAGTTCATCTTCTCACCCACCCATGGACAACTGACTTGCTGCCACCTTTAGATTCTTGTTAATGCTGCTTTGGCCATGAATGTATGAGTCTAAAAATGGAACTGATATTTATATCATATGATAATTCTTTGTCTAACTTGGAGAAGTCACTGATATGTATGTAGCAAAGTGCCACATTAGAGATACATTCCTAGCAGCCTTGATCAACATTTACACCAATCTTACACCTTAAAAAAAGAGTATATCCAGGCATGGTGGTACCCAACTTTAATCTCAATACGTGGAAGGTAGAGGCAAACAGACCTCTGTGGGTCTAAGGCCAATGTAATCCACATGAGTTTTGAGACAGCCAGGCCTATAGAGAGAGATCCTATTTCAAAAGCAAAAACAATGAAAAAAGTAATTTAAAAATAAAATAGCGATTTTATTTTGATTTTAATTTTCCTTTACCTATTATCCAATAAGAGAGAATATTCTCCCGTGCCATCATGCCTTTGTAAGGGATGGATTGAAAAACCACTGTGAAAACACTAACATGTCTCCAAAAGAGATCACATTTAGGAGAAAGTAGATGGAAATCAAAACACATGGCTGGACCGCCTCATTTCCTGCTGGAGGCCTTACCTCCTTGATCCAGGAAATGTCAGCTAGTCCATACCCTAGATATTTCAGGATCAGCCCTTCTGTTCTGTATCATTAGGTTTTGTTTTGCCTAAGCCTACTCTAAAGCCGCTTTTAATTGCAGTTATATCTGCAAATATTTATTATATGATAGGCTTTTATAGCAGGTTTAGCCCAACTAGCTTCCATAATTGCTAGGAAATGAAGTTCCTCTCCTGAGTATCCCCGAAGAAGGGATGTTCTCTACCAAACAAACATCCCTTACCAAAGACTAGAAGGGCCGGTGATTGGAGGAGCTTCTGATAGTACATGGCATCCTCTGTCCTCGGGGCCACTTTACCCCATTACCAAGGAAGCAAAGGATCTTTCTACAGCAACATTCAATAAGGAAGCTTGTGCAGTCCAGTGTGGATTTGGGTGATGGCTCCTGTGGGTTTGTTCATGCCATTGCAACAGGGACTTTGGCCCACTGTGATATACCCCATAGAATTCTCCTTTATGGAAATATGTGAGTGCTAAGACTAAGATAGTGCAGTTACATATGTCTTCACTTTCTAAGCATATCAAACATTTCTATGGCTTAACTGGAAAGTGTTCCCTACAGACTCTTCGGGTCCTGATTGATGGTACTATTTTAGGAAATTCTAGAGCTCTAGGAGGTGGAACTTAGCTAAGGGATATAGTTCACTGGAAGTATGGCCTTGATTACTCTCTTACCCTAGCACCATCTGCCTCTCTCTGTACCCAACTGCGTTGAACCATGAAGGTAGAATCCCTCCATTTAAGTTATATTGGTCTGTCAGGTATATTGGTCCAAGATATGCAAAGGTAACTAAGCCTGCATCTTCTGCACTAGTTTCTTGCTTTAGGGGATAGAGACCCTTTTGAGAATCTAATAAGAGTTGTAAAACTAGTCCCCTAATAAAACTGCACAATACAATTAGACCTGATCCTAGGTAAACAGACAGTTACAAGGACACAGTGTTACTCAGTGTGGCCTCATAACTCCCCAGCTATAATCCTTCTCACAGGTCTCCCAGTTTGACTGGAAAGCTCAAAGTAAGTAAAGCCTAGCCCTTTCCTGCCAGTAGTTGAGGCTGATCTTGGTTGTCTGGAAGGGTCTTCCCAGAGAAAGGGATATCAGCAGTTGAAGAGGATGAGTATGGATTAGTGTATCTTAGAATTATAGGTAAGAAGCTAGAGAAATGACTCAGCAGTCAAGAGCACTTGTTGCTCTGCAGAGAACTGGAGTTTGGCTTTTAGCACCCATGATAGACAGCTAACAACAGCTTCTAACTCCAGCTCCAGTGCCCTCTTTTGGCCTCCATGGCATCCCCAACACATACACACAAACACACACACACACACACACAACCACCACCAACAACAACAACAAAAACAACAACAACAATACATCTTTGTCATTACTGAATAAGCAGTTGTAACTAGGTAAGGGGGTGATCCAGCTGCTATGCTATAACAAGGTACAACAGTATAAATGATGCCCAGTATCGATGCATGTAATTCTGTAGACAACAAATACCATTAAAGTTCCGGGTCAGCCTCTGCTTCTTGCCTGTGGATGGCTCCCTTTCTTGGTGTGTCTTCCCATAGCAAGGAGAGCACATAAAGACAATCTCTCTAGCAGCCTCTCTAAACCAGCCATTGGCAAAGACAATGGGATTATCTTGCTTGGCAACTCAACCTGGAGGTATTGTGGAAGAGTAAAATCACAGTGCTACTAGAGGAGAAGGCTGTAAGGAGTAGACGGCAAGAGGCACTTAGCCACATGTGCCCTGAGCTACAGTCCATGTTAGACATAGAAGACATATTAGAATATCTTAACATGATTACAGATGCCATGTAGATCTTTGAGTTTCAAGGTATGAATATGACATGTATCTGGGTATGTCTGAACAGTGGGTTATCTAGGCTCTTCCAGTAATGGGACACAATGCAGCACTTCAAGTTGGTCTTAAAGGAAGACATGCCATAAATCCTGACTTCTACTTAATAAGAACTTGATAAGCTCACGCTTGGTGGTTTTCTCTTGGTACCACTCTCATCCACTAGAAAACACCCTCAGGTTCATCTCATGACTTTGTCAGATTCCAAGATGGTAGACAAGGACTTCCTTTTTTGCTGGGTGATAGCCAGAGTTCTGTAGCCCAAGCAGAGACTATATGAACTTCAGGCATTTTAGTTATATCCTGTAAGGTGTTCAGATGTCAGCTGCATGTCAGTAGCATAACTCTTGTGATGTCAGCATTTGGGGAGCAGAGTCAGGGGTATTGAGAGTCCATGGCTTCCCTAAGCTACTTAATAAGTTTTAGGCCAGTCTTTGCATGATAAGGCACTGTCTAAAAATTATCTGAGTATAATTTTCTATGTAATATGGCTACATGTAGAAAAACACTAACTTTGAATTTAACATTAGGGATATTTTAGCCCACTTATGGACCCAACTTGTCTGCTGTGTACACTAGTATTCGGGTAGAGTCACCTGGCCTTTGCCATCTTTATATCTCTGGCACCAATGTCAGTTCCTAGACAGAGAAAGCACTACAGGAATGACAATCATTGACCCTAATGATAACACACTGGAGGCTATTGGTCTCATGTGCTCTGCCAGCTGTTGGAGTCCATAGGAAGAGGTGGTCATTGAGGACAAGGATATTGGGCAGTGGGAAGGGATGTACCATTCAAGGTCTATGGAGAAGACTGGAGAAGATTAAGAAGGAAAGATGAAACATCTGAATGGGGAAGGATTTGGACCAAGGCTAAGTATGCCATGGTACTTGGAGGATTGGTGAAGTCTCCCTGGGAAGGCCCTATGGCCCAAGTTGATAAAAACGGTACATAATTGGCTCTAGGTTGAAACAGGGTTAACATCCAAACTGGCAGCTTTGGGAATAGCCCAGTCAGGAAAGTGATTGCTACCCAAACTAAGGGCCTAAGCTTGGATTCCCTAGAACCAGTAGAAAAACTGGTCATGATGGGGCATATCCATAATCCCAATTCTGGGGAAATGGAGACAAGTGGATCCTGGAGCTCACTGCCTAGCCAGACTGACCAATTGGTGGCTCCAGGTTCAGCAACAGACCCTGTCTCAATAAGGAAGGTGGAAAGCAACTGAGAGAGATGACTAAGGTCCACCTCTGGCCTCTGTATGAATGTGCACATACCAACATGAACATGTATGCATGTACACATCACACAAAAAACACACTCAAATAAAACCCATGGATCTCAATCTCAGACTCTTGCAACTTCAACATTCTTGTTGGTCAACCATGAAAAGCCCTTCATCCAGCCACCATCTGAAGAGTACACATAGCCATGGAGCAAGCTGAGACCAACAAACAAGCCACAGAGAAACCAGCTTTCTCAGGGGAATCACACCAAGACCCCTCCCTATTCTTCTTCTCCATCAGAGTGGAAAAGAAGCTAGCCTCTTCCAATTTCTGGAACACTGCCCTATTATTTTTAATCGACCAGCCTGTCTCACTGAGATATTGGACTACAGCAAAAAATGGCAGAGACAGACCACATCACCACATTTTCTTCTCTCTGCACAGCACATAAACATCGCTCATTTTGCCAGTGCAGGTGCTTGTTAAATTGCCTCTCTCTGGGTCTCCTCACTCATTTCTCTGTTATCCGTCATGTGGAAGGAGAAATCGTTTTTCTGTCAAGGCTGTTCATTGACTCTAAGTACACTTGATGGGTCCCGACCCTGCCAGGGACCTTGCTCTGATACTGAGGATTTACACAAAGCGCCTTTACCCATGGAGCTTTAGCTGCTGAGAAAGATAAGATAATGTATGCTGGTGTCCAGTGCGGTGTGCCTCACCTGGCCAAGATAGGACACATGCCAAGGAGATAATGTTCCCTTCTCAAGATGCGCAAGAACGTCTCATGGAGCAAACTCTCACTTCAAGGAGATTGATGACTGTTTCCCTAAATTATGCTCA